CCCCCCCACCTCCCGTCGGCATCGCTTCCCTGGCAGATCTAGTAGCTTCCCTAGCTCCTACGTCCATATTAAAGAGCCTAGACTAACACGGAGGCTTACATTTCTAATACCGTTCATAATTCGCAAAGCATGAAACAAAGTACAGGAAAAGTTTGAATGTGTCATGCTAATCCACCAGTAAGTTAACACTTCCGACCATAAATACATCACTTTATCCAAGGACGTCAAAATTTCATCACATTCCAAGTTTTGTCAATCTTTGAACATTTTTCTTGCCTATAAATAGTGCTAGTGCTTCAGCGACAACGGAAATAGTTTTCTGTAATTCTCTATCTCTAGGATTACTGTTAAAAGGCGTGCGTTAGATCATCTTCTATTTTTCGCTCATTAACGTAGTTTTTTTGGTTTTCCGTTTTGATTTTGTAAAGCACACGTTAACACGCATTCCGACCGGAAGCTATCATTACTGAAGTCAGAGATTTGGTCAACCGCACCTTTCAACATCCTTGAAAAGAAAAACCAGAATTTTTAATCGTCGTCTCAACCCCGACATAAAGTGATTTCTGGATTGCCTTCACTGAATTACTGAGTTTTGTGGGATTTTGTTTTTGAAAGAATAAAGTATATAGAAAATAAATCTTACAGTTTCAAAAACGTTGAATGGCTTTCGACTTTCGATAGCGTGCATATTCTCGCTTCTCTTTTGAAAGAATCAGGAATCTATACGGTCTCTTATCTTAGCGGCATCGCTGTTTCAAAACGAGCTAAGCTCATTACCCATCACCTTAGCAATTATCAGCTATTTTATAGGTTATAGATCTTGTCACTTCTTACATCGACTCCATGAGTTTCACACAACGCTACATGTGTCCAAACATGCAGCGCCAGACCAGTCTTGGTTGATATTCCGCTAAAAGGGGCAAAACAGTGGACTTGACCTTAAATCTCCATGTCAACAGGACAATGTTAAAAACGTTTTACCCATTACTGATAGTAGGAATGGCTATCGTGCAATAGAAGGCATTCCAGAGTGCGTTGCGTTTCGAGCCCTATCTCGACACACCCAATTCTATACGTTTACTGACGTTCGTTTTAAAGGGTAGAGGATCGTATGCACATAGTATAGGATATCAAAGCCATAAATCATTCTTTGTGGTTCCAACAAGTGTGGCTTAAACACTCTGTCTTTTATCGCTGCTCTCAGATATGAATAAAATGTAATGGTTGTCTTTTGTCGCCTTTGAGTGACTTCCGGACCGTGTTGAAATCTTCTTATCAACTCACACTTGGCTAAAACACGAGTTTTGTCGACATCCGAAAATAGATTTTATAAACATTTCAAAGAAACCCCTAAAGATATAGATTTAGACAATGTAATATTGCCTTTGTTATTTTCACTTAAAATGAGTAATATTTGAGAGTTTTTGGAGGTAGTAGTAGCGAAGCTTTTCGTGGTATAATCTTGACTACAAGATGACGAATATATTTAGCCCTTTTATCTCAACACCCTTCTATAATTGACCAAACACTTCTCGCTATTGCCAAGGGCATTTTTTTGGAAGATAACATCTTCATTACACAACTTTGCTGAGATTATTTTGTGCAGTTTAGGACGAGCCGTCTGTATTGACCCATTCACTGTTGTTCAACGTCGCCAATGCAAACGTTGGCTGCAAACACACCAACACAAAGCACAAACCAAAACAACACGCGAGCTAATGGTTTTTTATTGAAATGTTTTTACAAATTCTGGTGCCAGCACTCAAACACATTTACAAAAAATAATTTTCTACTCTTAATAAATGAATCAAATGAATTCCCCTCTCTTGATTCTAGAGTAAATTAATTTGAGGGTTGTAAACATAGTTTTACATTCAAAGGAAGCCCGACCAGACATATGGGGCATCCAAACCTCAAGAACAAGTCTGAATATATTATCTTTATAATCATTTTGTCATCATGTTTAGAAAAGGTTTTCTTCAATATATTGGGACGTCGAGAAACGCGGCCATGACCTAAAACTTTCAAAGTTAGGTACAATAACAATCTCTTGACGTTAAAATAAAAGTGAAAAATTATAAATTATAAATCTACTTGTTGTAATATTTTGTCGAATTCCTTTCTAGCCAGGCAAGATAGTGTAGGCTTGTACGTAGAAGTCTGTCGTCTCAGTAGAGAATGACAGATTTGAACTCAGTAAATAGAGCTACTTCCTGATCATTGTTCTTGCAGAGATTCTGGCGCTAGAAGGATAAATTTTCTATGGGAATTTCGCAAATGATGAGCTTTTGAACTCTCAATTATGCAAAATAAACTTAGTTTAAGGATCAATGGTTTGGTATGGAGACTTTAACAAATTATTCTAAGCGTTTTATCTTTTTATCTTATGGACACTCGATTCAACGATCCAAACTTAGATAAACTCTAAGTGGATTTGAATTTACGTTCAAGCAAAATCTTGAAAAATGTGCTGACAAAGCCATGACCTGTAAATGCTAGAAATAATACTTTTCCTATGAAAACATCGAGAACATCTTTGAATATGCATTTTTATGGCTTACAGAACCAAAAGTCTTGTGACTTTTCTCACTGGGGCTACTATTTCATATAAGTTATTTGAATTCATATCTTTATGTACACGTACATGGAAATTTATACATTAAGCTACAATATTTCATTCCACACTTAAATAAAGCTAACTAAGCTTGGCTTTTAGGACTGGTGACTGGCCTTACCTAAAGCCCGGAACTTTAGGAACCGTCCCGCCCACACAAAACTCAGAACATATTGAACTTTGTCAATTGATTCAAAATAGAATAGTCATCTACTAGGAAATCACTATTAGATTTCCAAAGAAGAAAAATAGAGATAGAGTTGCACAAATACCATCCCACTCTGCTCGTATCCCATCTTTCCGCTCAGATCAAAGGCCTCACACAAATTTTAGAATCTTCTTTACAAATACGGCCTAGAACTTCCCAGTATTGGAACTACATGATCTACATCAGTAGCGAATATTTCAAGTGTCTCATTCACTAATGATTAGCTTTAAGACCTTGCTTTTTTTTCATTTCGAACTAGTTTTCAAACGTTTGTTTTCTAATTATAGCCTGTTGCTATCTTATTTGATCCACCTACTGAATTCGCTTTGCAGTATAGGCTCACTTAGCAAATATACAATTACTTTGAAAGAGCCACGCAAATAAGTTACCACACTTTTTGGCCTAATTATGCATATTCTGCAATGCCAAGAATGTTATTTAAAGAAATTAAAAGCGAAGGAAACCAGTGCATTCCTTTCTGGGTATCTGAATTGTCCATGTTTTTGAATAAGCTTGGTGCAAAACGCCGGACAAGTCGCACGGGGCTGAATGCCGTATGGGCGAGCTCATGATCCTTAACATCTGAATAGCACGATACAAGAACATCGTCTACAAACAGATTACCATGTTGAGTCAAGGGAGCAATCATTCCATCCCTGTTCCCGGTACTAACAGACCTGACTCGTGAGAGCACAGCCCCTTCCCTATATTGCACCAGGACGTAATCTCCCTGTTTCACAAGCCCTGCAATTTTTGCTTTGACTTTACTACTTTTCACATTATTGTCTTTGTAGAATATCAGGTGATTTTTCGTCATGGTCAGTCTCTTGTAGGGAGACTCCGTTTCTATTATAATGAACGGTACCTGGCGAAGCCATGGGTTAAAATCAAGAAACATTAGCACCTCACTGTAAGTTATTTCTCCACTGTCATCAATTCCTTGCACTTTTTGTCCAACTTTGACATCCTTGATCGGGATGTGCGAGCCATTTTCAAGGCGAACTGAAGCGTTGGAGTTGAAACAACCTCGCCAGCCTCGTCCATCATCTATAATTAAGAAATAATGTAATCATGTAATTAAAATCGTAAAAAGACCCTTTAACATTTGTAGGCCAGACCGTGTCTTTATAAAAGGGAACATTATTGAGTCAATTATCTCGGACTTTTCGTGCAAACACTGTTCACAAGAAGTAAACTACAAAACCTACATACAGCCAAGGCCCTTGGAATTAATAAGCAAAAAATACGAATAAAAAGCTAGGACTATAAAAAGCTAGCCCACACGTATGATTTTGCTTCAGGCTATTGTATTGTAAATTGGTGTGCATTGATGTGACATAACATTTAATAACAATTTATTCGGACACAAAAACATTTGAACTCGTCTATAACAGGATGACATTGCTATACTAATAAAAACATCAAATATAATTACACAAAAATATCAAGGAAAAAAATCTTCAGATAAAGGTTTTGGATTTGATCACGACAATATCGGATTTATTTTCGCCTCACCTTCACGGACAGAAGCATGAATGTGTGTTTGCGATTCGTAGTAAACCCAATCAAAACCCGATTGAACGGCTAATCTTCCAAGTTCTGGGTATTTTGACCGATCGAGATCAGATGTTGTAATGTCTACCGCCCTGCCTTCGTAGTGCAGTGAATGAGTAGAATGACTCCCATCTTCATCCCAGGCCTCAATAACTCGTAATTTTGTCTTCCCATGCCACTTTTGCTGCACTCTTCTAGCAAGGTCTTTGAGTTTCTCTCGACATTTCTATAAATTGAAGAAACGTGTCGGTTTATTCAAAATTTGCTCTCTGGTTCATTTCGAGCTGCAATTTTTACACCAGCACAGCTCGTGGAAATGTATTTCGTGAATGAACTTTGCTTCGAAATGTATACAATCCTCACGAGGAGTGGCCATGCTGAGCGTTAAATAGCGTTGAAAGACAAGACAGTAAATGTAAACAAACGACACAAACCTTACCTTCGTCATGAGGCGGTCTGCTCCCGTCCCTTCTTCATCTTTGAACACGATGTCCGATATAAAGCAACTGACAAGCTGAGTATTGAACTTGGAAGAATTTCGAGTGATTTTTCCTTTCGCACTTCCACTCGCATCGAGAGAAAATTCTTCAGTATCTGGCACACGCTGCTTAAGATATAGAGGTTTCGTCGGTTTCCGTCTATTGTAACCGCTTCTTGGAGCACATGAATGACCAAAATTGTGAAAAAGCTGAAGGAGTAGTAGAAGCACCAAAAGGGGGTAAAATACAAACTGGTATGGACCTTGTCTCATTTTTAGCATGGAGTTGAAGGTGAAGTTCAGCTTGGCTGACAATTGAGAAGAGATATTTTCAGCTCGGAGTAAAGATAGGATTGAGTTTTGCAGTGGTTGTTCCTGTGCTGTCTCGCATCGACATCTTTCTATCAACTAAATGAACCTTACTTTAGTCAGTCGCACTAAAATGGCTTTCATAGTAGCGTGCTTTTGATTGGCTGCGAGCAATTTGACTGCCACTCGTCATTGTTGTTTTGTTAGCTTTTCGATCGTTTGACCGGAGGGAAGGGTTACCCTCACCTGACACCTGCGACATACTTTCATGCGGGGGAAAAAACCCGCCAAATTCCTATTCGACCAACTAAAAGCCGTTTAAAACTTTAAATCATCTTAATTTGGGGCTCAAATCTAACTGATTGCTAAAGTCTTAGAGTAAACGTGGATTTATATTATAGAGTAGTTGATTTTCCAATCTCATTTAGGGTTATTTATACAATGTGTGAGACTTAGGGATGGGAGGGCCAATGAGGTTCCTGCCTCTAAATTGTGTCATTGTAGAACTTTAGCATTTTGTCAACAGTTACTCCTAAGGCTAATGAATGAGCGGAGACCGGTGGTAAGATTGTAATTTGTTCTAAAACGGGTTGTTTAAACACAGCTAGTCTGTATTTGTTTACGATTTAAGTTCCATCCAACAGTGGAATTTGACATCCAATTTGTTAGCACCTCTGTATCGCGAAGTTTGGAGGAGTATGCGAAAAAATATTGCAGCTTAGGTGTGACTCGATCTAATTCTCTTCCAAAGGCTTTTTTTCACAGGATAGAACAAAATATATTGTTGAACAACAAACATAGAAAGAAAATCGACGGATTTCATAATGGCAATGAGATTAGTATATGTCAATCAAGCCAGGCTTCAAAATGTTAGGGAAATAAAGGATTGCTAAATTAGCCGACATCCTCAAAATGTGTTTTCTTGCATACCGATTTAGAATTATGTCAGACGTGGGCAAACAAGTTTATGCTTTTGAAGAATTAAGAGATCTAGAAGGGCAGAAGCACACGAAAGATGTTGAAGATCTGTTCTCTCTTTTTAGCACTAAAACGCTCCATTAAACACTCTTTGAAGCTAAAAGAATGCCTCCTAATTTGAGCAAGTTTTCTTTTGAACTTTGCAGCAGTAGTATTGTGTAAATATTCACCGAATGAATACGATAAATACAGTACTGTTATCAGGCAAAGAATCTCGTCACAAGGCCATAGGAATTTCATCCAGGGTGCCGCCGAATTGCGAAAGATCTCCACATATTTTTCCCTTGTATTGTACAGGAATCTTAAAAAGCTTTCACCGGGAAATCGTTCAACTTCAAAAAGTGTTGATCTAAGTAAGCTCCTTAAGCAAAAATGTCCTGCATAATTAATTACTTGGGCTGTAAACTGCCCGACTTGTAGTCAAAAATAGCCGTTCAGGAAACTCCAGAAACGAGTGTTTTTTTGATGTAATAAAATTTGACGTTCTAAATTAGAAACTTTTGGGAGGCTTTTGTTTCTCTTTTGATAGTTAATTTGGCTCTCTTTTGTTCGTGTTTGCACCCTACGAGGTAAATTAAAATGATTTGGCTTTTGAAGAATAAGATCAGTATGGCGAAGATCGAGCGGGGAAAGAGAGTTTTTAGCAAAGTTGAAAACACACGTTATAAAGCGTAAAGTTAGAGCCTAGCGAACTGTGGTTTAAGATGTATCAAATTTTAAAAAAACAAGAAGACAAAATGCTTTTTTCTTAATTTCACTGATATGTTTACAAAATGGTACTGAGCAATTGAGAAAGCCCATCTTTGAACCTTTAAGTAACTCTCGTCTTCTTCACGAACTGAAAATCAATTCTCAGAGTATAAGCAGGTCAACACATAATTTTCATAACATAACAAGTAAGGGAAGAACTGCATAATCCCTTCAGAAAAAACCGCCATTCTTAACTCTCCTTTCCGTAAGATGTAAACCGGGCTTAGACGAGGTAATTATCAGTAGGGAGCCATTTACGTAAAGACAATTACAATTAGTTTATGTTAGTCGTGGCTAACTCAGTGTGTATTCTGGCTCGAGAAAGCAATTAGCTTAAGTCCTTCCCATGTTTATACCCATCTATAAGCCTTTGGTGCGAGATTTTTACCGACGTTTTTTTTTTTTATTATTCCAACGGTGTATAATTTTCGGGAATATAGTTTTAACGAGGTCGTCAGTTAACAGTTTAGAAGTACTGTCAGCCGTGTTTACATAATTGATCTCTTAAGGGTGTGTCAGATTGATAATCATAATCGCTCTTACCGAATATAAATGACGACTATAATTAAAGCAATTACAAGGTGCCGACAATCGTTTTCGGCACGTCACTTTTCACTGACACACGTTCCTTTTCGACAAAACCGTTAATCATTGAAAATCTTTCAACTCCTAAACGTCATTGTTCGGGTTTTCTGGTTGCATAAAGCAAATAATTTGCCTCCCAGGAAATGACAAAGTCTGCAAAATATTCGTTTTCTTTTCTTTTAGGTAAGCAGAGTTGGTTTGTCTCCACGATGACGTCTCTCTTGTCAGCACGATGAATTGGCTCAGACATTGACTCAGACAAGAGATTTTTCCTTTCCTTTGTTTTTGCATGAAATAATCACGTAGCAGCTTGGAAAGGCTTCGATGGTGTTCATTATTTTTCTAAACTTTTCTTTTCTTCTTCTTCTTTTTTTCTTCTTCTTTTTCTTTGCTTCCCCTTAATCTTGTCCAAGAAAAGAAGCCTCAAACTTTGAGATAGGAATAAGTAATAGAACTTAAATTGGAAAACTGAAAACTTTGATATCTAGAGCAAAACACCATTCCTATACTGATTTCCCAAGGTAATATTATATTAATTTCGTTTTTCAAACACTTTCCATAGGATTCCATCAAAACGCCATAGAAAAATAACTTTTTTAAAGCATTTAATTGGGCGATGTAATCTTTAAAATACTTGTTGACAAAATGAAAAAAGAACCCACTTGAAAAATGAAGAATTTTAGGGTCGCAACCACTTGAAATCAAATGAGATTAAAATCAAAAATAACTCATTTTGAGCTATTTCCAACTAAAATTTCAATCCGCTTTCCAAGCTTTTCTTCTGTGTGACAACAACATTAATTTTAGCCGTGTTTTTAATTCATGTTTAAAGAACTATCAGTTTGACAGTGCCACTACATCAACCAAGGCAACCTAGACAATTTTTCATAAATATTAGCCAATCACGATTGAGTATTTAAATAATAGGATCTGCACAAATTTTCATATTGCTCCTTTAAAAAAAGCATATATATTACTTAATACGAGTGTGTGTATGATCAGGAGTGAAAAAGAAAAAGTTTAAATCCAGAATTCATCAATTCATCTGTTACTCGGCGTCAAAAATGGGATTTGTGAATTTGATTTAAAATTTGCTTGGGTTGGCCTTGGTTAATGTAGTCGCACTGTAACAGTGTTATTTGAAGTAAAAAGCTCGCAAAATATTTTCATTTTGTAAGTGTTCAAAGCTTCAGTGCCCGGCGCGACGCTTAGTGACGTACTAGTTTCGTTCAAAGGTAGGAAAAATTTCATTGGTTAAACTCCGCGAACAGTCGGGGGGATGGATCAGTCTACGTTAATCCATAAAAATGTCTAGAATAGGATGTTTATTCTTTATTGAATATATGCATTAAAACTGCAAGTCCAGGCCTCACTAAAACGTTAATCTATCAGGGAATTTATCAACAAAATTCGCACAATTTTTAGTTCGAGAAAAATAGTATACAAGAATCGAAAACTTCAAAGAAGATTTCAGGAAAATTCTTTTTCTTGAACATAGGAACATGTTTTAGAATTCAAATTTAACTCACTTTTGAATATTCAAATATAGTTATTTTTTCGTTTAGGAATATAAATGCGGTATAGTAATTTTCAGCCACTCAGATATGGTTCTTAATCAGTTATTTTTCTTATTTTAGACGCGCGGTTTCTGCTATAAACGCTTCCCTACTGTTTCTGCTTGTTTTGGGCGCGTATACAATGTTATGAATGCCAGAAGTACTTTCCTTTTAAAAATCGTCTTTAAAACACGAGCATGACGTGAAAGTACTAGAAGAAAGGAAGGAAATAAATCAAGAATTTCCGGGACTCTTTGTCGCCGTCGCTTTTACTTGTTGTGCTGTCTATAATTTTCGACCATACTCTTGATTCTTGTTGATTTTTCCAATTAGAACGATAGTTGTGGCATGCTGCTTCGATTAATTCAATTATCGATATTCCACGTTTTGCATTCTCAATTCGTCGTTAATTGATAAAACCGGAAAGAGAGGAATTTAGGCCAAGAATTGAGCCCAAATGAAACCCTTTCCCCCGGTAAACAAGTTGGTACATTTGTGAAAGGAATCTGGAGGATAGATAAAGAAGATTGCACGCATGCTTTATCGTGTAGCTCATTCAAAGCCAAAAATATCCGTTCAAATTCATATCTTTTTCGATCTAAGAGCGGAAGGCCACTCCACCAGCCCGCTGGCAAAGCCCGAATACACTGTTAAATATTGAATTCCTGCCATGGTTCCGAGTAAATTCATTGCGATAAAATCTTCCTCGAAGAATCATGAATGCGATAACAGTTTTTAGGTTCATTATGCAGAGGATCTCATTAAGGGTTTGTGATAGTGTACCACATATGGGGCCCCTGGTTGGGGGAGCTCTGGGGAGTCATTGAAACAAAGAAAGCTAAACTAACATCTAACATACAAAAGACTGACTTCCTCAACCTTTTAATTCTTATTTAAAAAATTACATAATCTCTCTTTACCTTTTAATTTTTGTCGTTTCGGACATGAATGCTAGTCAAAATTTAAATTCAGAACTGGGCTAAAATTCATTGCGGTATTGAAATTCAGGAAACCGATTCAGGGTTTTCGTATCCCAAGAGCCTTTGCTTTACAAATCTCGACTGTGAAAAAGAGCGGTAAATTACTGCAAACATAGATTGGCAGATACAAATACACTGTCAATTTGAACCGAAATTTTAGCCTTGGACGTTTCCAGTGATTCGTTTCCTTATCGAGAACTTCGACAAAGAAAATCATAATCCGATAATACATATATGTTTCTCAAACTAAGGTTAAATCAACAAAGAGGTCTTTATATTTCGCATTATATATCTTTTTGCTTTCTTGTTTTGAAAGTACGAAGGCCGTAAGGTATCTAGTTATCATCTCGGTACCGCCTGCTGTGGCCAGCGGTATGACTCGTGCAGTAAAACAAACAAACACCATGGGCGTGCTGTGTAGTTTTCCGTTGTAAGAAAGAATCAGACTGCGATCTTTTTTCCGCCTGATAATCTACTAAAGGATCTAGGGAAACGCCATGATCAAAGAGCAAAACATAGCTTTTGGACTGAAAACAAGGAAATAAAGCGATAAACTACAAGTATGTTATCAGCCGTCCAAGGTCATGACATGATCAACACGTACGGCCGATAGATTGATATATTTGTAATTGCTTTTCAAATGCTGAACTTTTCAGTTGAAGGTGATCATAATTTGCAATTGCTCTCTCTCTCTCTCTCTCTCTCTCTCTCTCTCTCTCTCTCTCTCT